AAGTGGCATCAACGGAACTACAGGCGTACCCACAGTGGGGCAGCGCGAAAGAACGCAGGGACCCGGCCCGGGCGTCTCTTTGCCGGTCCGAGGCGGGGTCTGGGTGTGTGCAACACTGACCTGCGTTTGAGCCGAGGGTGCACTTGTAGTAACGCCGAAGCATGTAAGGCGGACGCAGCTTCTTCACAGGCTGTATTTAATGTGCTGAAGCGCACAGGGGAGATGGCCGTCTGCAACACACACAGGGATAGTGCAGCCTGTTGTGTGCAACCCACTCGACACGGGAAAACCACTGCCGCTGAAGCGCCGTCCACCAGCACGAGAGCCCACCGAAGAGCGTGCTTGACTGTAGTTTGTCACTACTGCAGAAGGTCAGGAGCAGAACGATAGAACCCCTCGGCTCCGAAGCGAAAAGCTGAATATGCGCTGCATCTGCTGCCTACTTATACTCACGCTGTGATCAGCAGCAGCTGGATGCAATAATCGCATGCCAATGTGCATTGGCTCTTTTAGTTTACACTCGAAGTAGATTGGTTCCTCTAAGCGAGATCCCAATTCGTCGGTCCTCCGTCGAGAGTGACCGACTGAAAGGGAACTGAATAGGGATGTACAATAGCAATAATATAATTTCAGACAATATGATAATTATTTTCATGTTATGGTCAATATTAAAAACCTATACTATATTGTCTAAATAATTTGAAAACTCTGAATACTAAAGTCTTTTTTTAATTTAAGCATCAACATTATAAAGTTCAGTATGACAACTGGATATTTAGCTTTTAAACAACGTTATTAAATTATTATGTTTTAAAAGATTAGCAAGCAATAAAATGAGCGCTAGATGGCAGTCTAACTGGAAAACTAGGCAAAATGTAAACTTTAATATCCAATAACAGCTGATAAATCAAAAAAAAAGAAGAAAAAAAATCTCTAACATCGCCAATAACAGATTTGGTGCCGACATATCAATGTATCATCCCTTGAATTAAACCATATTGTAAAGTGTTGCCTTAATGTTAAACAAACAATAGCAGATAAAAAAAATTACACAAAAGGTTTAAAAATACACTTAAAGGGGTCATATGATGCGATTTAAATTTTTCCTTTCTCTTTGGAGTGTTACAAGCTCTTGGTGCGTAAAGAAGATCTGTAAAGTTCCAAAGACTAAAGTCTCAAATCCAAAGACATATTCTTTATAAAAGTTAAGAGTCAGCCACGCCTACCTAAAACAGCTCGTTCTAACACACCCCCACGTCTACGTCACTATGTGGAAATATTAGCATAATGCCGCCCAAATGTTCACGCAAAGAAAGAAGGCGTAACTTTTATTCTCGCTGTAGTATTGTTGTTGTCGCTGCCATGTCGTGAAGGCGCTGTGTGATTCGTTGTGAAAGCGAAACTACTTTGTTTGGTCTTCCAAAAGAGGACGATATCCGCTTCATCATGCCTGGAGCTGATCCGTGCTGGTCGCCGAGGAAATACATCAACTTCGCGCTGTGGATTGCCAGATCGGCTTTCACCGTGGACGAAGCGGAGTCCAGCCCG